TGGGCAAATTATGACGAACTGAGATTCCACTGTGAGATCCAACTGTCCTGTCCGTATAGACATTCGGGCAAGATCTTTCTTGACAGAAGCATAGCCGCGTGCTTAACCGAAAATGCTAATATTCTCTTTAAACAGCAACAAGCTCATAAAAACTACAGTGAGTGGCCGGTCTCATGAGATGTTGACCAAAATTCTGAAATGTGTTGTCAATTAGGAAAGATTTTTAGATGGGGTTGTAATAGGGATTATTTTGCGGCGTGATCCTATAATGTTTCGGACTCGGCAGTACGTCGGCTATCAAATGCACATCCTTTCAATCTCCTGTAGAGTTCCTGTTCGGCAAAAAATGACTATTTAAGTAACATGTATTTTTCCCATTGATTTTCGATGGCCTTGCAAATTCAGATATATTTTATAAGAAACATTAACAAAATATACTTTCTTTCACTGGCTTGAGAGGGAACTACCTCATCTTCATATTGTATACTCGAAGAAGCAGTATAATTAGGTTTCAAAAAAGTTTCTAATTGTGCGATTTTTTGAGACCGCGCGATGTCTATTCATAAGGCATCATACCTGCCCTTTTACTACTGCTCCTCATGAAATGTACAACATAGTCCGCATCTGTTGCAAAATTTTATGGAATTTATATGAAATCTTTTAAAGGCATAGAAAAATATGTGACGTAATGTACGCAGAACGCATGAAGCTTGTAGACTGCAATCACTAGGCGCTAATGCAACGGCTGATCAGGCTCCAAATTATTCGGGAATTAGGGAACTTTTTTAAACCTAATTATACTGCTTCTTCGAGTATAAAATATGAAGACGAGGTAGTTCCCTATCAACCGAGTGAAAAAACGCATATTTTGTTAACGTTTCCTATAAAATGTTTTTGAATTTGCAAGGCCATCGAAAATCAATGGGAAAAATGCATGTTACTTAAGTAGTCATTTTTTGTCGAGCACGACCTCTACGGGGGATTGAAAAAACATGCATTTGAAAGCCGACATCCTGCCGAGTCCGAAATATTGTAGGATTACGCCGCAAGATAATCGCTACTTCAACCCCATCTAATTGGTCCTTCCTAATGGTAAACGTATTTTTGAATTTAGGCCAACATTTCATGAGATTGGTCACTCACTGTATGTCCGACAGGCCATTGGTGTGATTGGAAGGAGCAGCAATCATGGCACAGACCCTTGTGAAACACTGCTGCACACCAACAACTCAGGCGATGAAGTCTGTCGAATGTATACGTGGAAATAAGAGTAATAATTGCATCTAATGCCAGTTTACAGGCATTTTCAGGGAAAGATTAAGCCCAAATTCGGCCAGCAGTGAAAAAACTCCTGATAATTAAATAAAGAGCGTGGTGTTTTTGTATAGTTTGGAAGGTTTAGGAGAAATAAAACTGCCGCCCATGAAATGACAACAGTCGAGAAAGGGGTGGGTAGCACTGCATCGGATATTTTTAGTCGTCATTTCTTTTCATGAATTTGGAACTGGACAAAAGAGAATCACTGAAGAACATTTGTTGCTGTTGGCTGAAGAAATTGTCCCTAGTGAGACCGGCCATGGGGATCAGAGACCACGAATGCCATCGCTACGGTATATTCGATCGATGGACTCAGCACCCAAAATCTGTGGGAGTTTTTCTGAATGCAAAAAACGAGTAATAGTTCTCTTAAACAAAAGATAATTTTGCAGAATTTTCGCATTCCTGGGTAATTTATTCCAAATAGCAATTTTGTTCACAGAAAAGAACCGACGATATTTAGCTGTGGGTGCCAGAGGAAGTAATAAAAAGACCTCACGGTTAATGTTACGTCGGGGGTGCACAAGATGTTTTAAAGTAGTGAGCGGGCTAAAGGTACAATTATACGAAAGCTTAAATACTAAAATAGTCCCTTTTGTAATTTCCGAAATCACAAAGGATCAAGGCCTGCGAGCTGGCAGTGTTCTTGGTAAGACAAATTCCGGTGTTCCGAGGTAAAAACGATCTTGGTAAAAAATGTTGGACGGATTCCATTTTCTTCCGCTCAGCGGCGCGTATGAGGCTGAATAAAAACCAGCAGTATTCTAGGCCAGGTCTGGCGTACATGTCATAAAGACGCAGTCTAATATCGATAGTTTGAAAGTTTCGGAGGATTAACCCGATCGTTTTACGTGCTTTGGAGACTATCAGGACGCATTGCTCCGAAAGATTAAGACTCTTGGAGTATGATACACTCAGGTCCTTAATAACGACTGGCACATTTATGTCGTGATCGTCAATACTTAGTTGAGGTTGGTGGTCGTCACCCACTACCATGACAGAGCATTAATGCCAAGAAGGAGGAAGGCGCCATGTGCAGCACCACTGGCGAAGGCCTGTAGATAGCTCTTTTGGAGCTTGGGCACGATGTCTCGATCTGCTGGCTTATATCGATATTCAACTTTCAGATCATCGGCGTACATGAAGGACTTACCATTCTGAAATAAATATGGTACATCATTGACAAAAGCAAAATAATAGCGAGTCAAGTACACTACCCCGAATGACCCCTCTCCCCACAAATTTTGGGTTGGAGATAGCATAGGATGTAAAAATCAGCTAATCTAATTTAAGGTGTTTCTGGATAGATCATATTCATGAAGTTCCTCAATTAGTGCTAAGTGGTTAACTGTACTGGAAGCCTTGCTACGGATACAAAAGGCAGACTCGACCTCTTACATTCTAACCTGCTAAACATCATTTCTGCCCGAGTAAAGAAGGCCGTTCGGCGTGATCTTTATTTACAGCAGCCATTTTCGCAGGACCAACAAGTCTGTTCCCGACAATGGAGTAGTGTAGATGCTCTCGAATAATATTTCGCATGGTTTTGCATACTACGTCGGATGGCGGTTTGCAACTGCCCACTGAGATCCATTCCGGGTTAGAGGGCTACATGGGATTTTCATCCAATCATTTAAAATTCCACTTATCCGAAGGCCGCTGTTAAGGATATTGTCCTAGGAAGCAGCTAAACTTGATACCATCTAGTCCAAGGAGGTAGAATCTTGTGAAGGGAGCTAATTTTGGAGTCTTATCAGTGTCCATACACCGTGCATACTTTTCGGTTTCCTTTGGAAAACCGTCCGGGGAATGAAACAGACGGTTGTAAGTGTGGGACCACTTACATGGGGGCCTTATACAAATTGCTCACTGAGCTTGGAGGTGGTTATTGCGGTGTTTTCCGCATGAGTGTCACTGAGTTTCTGAGAGCTGTAATTTGTCCGTTGTTTTCCTTTGTTTACGGATATGAGCATCCTACCTTTTTTGATTTGGCTCTGATAGGGTGAACTAGTACGTTTATGCGACGTACTAGACTCCATTGTAGCAGAATGCAAACGATAATTCTCACAGGAAGGTTCATATGAAATCTGCTTAACAATTTTCCCCTTCTGTGCTCTCTGCCAAAGTCGTTCATCTTTGCATTACACCTCTGGGATTTTCATGTAATCCGCAAGCAAAAGAGCTATGGCATTTTGACAACGTTATTGCTCCTTGGAATCTAGGTCGACTACGTTTTTCCTAGTCAGTGCCCACTCTTGCTCTACGCCTGACCTCTTTTTTATTCTTTGTGTCTTGGCGTTTGAGTGCTAACACTATGGTTGAACTTTGTGTACTAGCGGTGCTGTTATGAATTGCTTAACCTAAACACTTTGCTAAGCGATGTTGTGACTGTCGGTTTATCTTAAGACTTGGGACTGCCTGTCTGGTTTCATGACTGAACTTGCAGGCATTCCAGGTCCAGTTCAAATATTTTGTCAGTCAGTTTGCAATGATGGTAGTGTGAAGACATCTCAGTGTTGAATTCGCGCAACTAACCAACAAGACGTCGAAGTCACTAAGACATGCATCCCTCTGTCTGCCTTCTATGTCATAGAGTTGAGTGTCTATAGCAAATTTCACGTCCAGACTATGTAAGAAACGTATGTATAATAGTTGATCACCTTCTTTGCAAGGCACGGAGACATCAGGTACAGATGCTGGGCCACTTCCGAAAGACCGAATGCGATGGAATTGTATTAGGATGTGTCCTTGATTGCACGACTTCCCCAGAACAGCTTCCTTACTGCTCTGCTTTACTATCGGCTGTAACTTCAACGATGGCTGACTCTTCGGCGACATCTTATTATTACTCGTCTCCGTACTGACTAATGCACAGATGAAAATCACTTTGGTCAGTGTTTTCGTGCATTTTACAAAGGCAAAAGTCGCAGTTAAAGGGAATAGACAATCACCGAGGCGTGTGTATGTCACACAGAAGGAGTAGAGGGGGCATTTGGCAGTTGCGGGACTAGGTAAAATAAATAATCACGGTAATTATATCAAGTGTATCTTACGTACGCTCTATTCTAAGGTCGCTTTTGGGCAATCGGTTCAGGCATATTCCTTCTCGTCATTTCTTTGTAAAGGGCGGTACCACGAGGGACCACGAGGACATATTGATACCCCCACCGACTAGTGCCCATAGACAGTGTTCACATAAACGATCATCTTTCCACGCTGCTACAGCCGTTTTGTTGCAATTTCGTTGTGTTCTTGCCGTTTTTCCTAAATTGTCTGACTCCTTCATTTTAAGCTGTCGAAAAATGTGACTTTGTCTTCTAGAGTCTTGCTTTATTTGAGTTTAATTGTCCAAAGTATTGCTCATGATCTGTCTGTGTGAACACTGACCGTTCCAGTGCGCGCCACAGTCTGATTAGCTGTCGTTCTGCTTCCGTAATCTGTTCATATTTCATGTTCTTCTGCGAGTTCCCAACTTATTCATAACTCTATTCATCGTATTTTATATTTTAATTATGGCTGAAAAATCGGGATGATTACAGATTCAGTGGAATATCAACAGGTTACTTTTTGGGAGGGTAGTGATCAAACAACTTCTCGATTATAATCTCTCTTTTTAAAATTTGATAGAAAAGAAACGTGAGTGGAGCGCCGAATATGTGCCAAGTTATGTGCAAAGCTTTTCAATGGATTTCTGTGATATGCTGAACAATCCTGTCTACAATTCCGCTTTGGCTGTTTATGAGAAAGCTGAAATGTATTTAAATTTGATGTGGCAGCCGACTGCTCCTGATAACACCATCATGAATTATGCCATCGGTAAGTACTTGACCCGCCAGTCGTACGGGCTGTCCGTTGTCTGCTTAATGTTCCTGGTATAACGTATTATGAAGGTCAGTCGGCATTCAGCTGTGAGTAGCATGTTCCTATTGGCTTAAAGGGCAGGACATCGTTTAGCTATTGTGACGTTGAAAATGGCCATCTGAATTTGTGCAGATATATGAGATTCGTTTCTTTTTGTTAGACCTAGAGTGTGGCGTGCTTAGAATCCTCAATGGTGCGTTAGACTTTCGTGTAAGGCTTGAGCGTGCTAGCAACTGAAGATGGGCTAAAACTGTCTCCTGACGCGTAATAAGCCAGAAGCGAATATTCCAGTGTTCCTGTTTTTTTACGCTGGCATTTCTCGAAATGAAAATTTACCTTCCTTGAGCGTGCGCTTCTCGGGTTTGCAGCAGCCACCATGATAGTTAACGTAAGCAATTATTTTTACTTTATTGGTGGCAGTAGTAGTATTTTGCACGACTTACTTCCGCTCATGCTGGTGTGATCAGTAAACTGGTCATGGAATTCGGTTTTCCTTAAAATATTCTTTCATCTACACCCTCAATCAGTTTTCCTTCAATGCGCATTACCCCTGAGATATAAATCCCACAAAGTGGTGGTTTTATTTAAAGAAATTCTCGCCTGTTGTGTGGTTTGGAAGACGGAGGGTCCGATAATGTTGAATAACTTCCAATAAAATGGCCCCTTTTTCAGGAAATGTTTTTCCTCAAGATTACCATAATTGCTCTCGTATCTGCATCTGAAAAGTAGACATGCGTTTGAATGACTGTTGTCTACCGGACATCCACTGCTACATAGACCATGCAAATCGTCAGTTAGTCCCATTTCTGATTAGTATGGCCTTTCCGATCCAGAAATTTATTCAGTTTGTTGAAACAACATTTGTCACATTAAGTGCATATAGGCAAATGAAGTGGGAGCAATGGGGGGTAACCCGAAAAACTGACGACCATTATATTTGCAGAGCACAATGGTAACAACAAACGATCATTGCTTCATTGGCCAGACAGGATCATCGACCCTCAGTGTCTTTTCATCCGTTGTTGTTCAATAGACCTATTAAACCCGATTTTTATGTCCGATTTCGAAAAGGTTTTCATTTCTGTTCACAACCCGTTCACGAATAACGAGTGGACTATCAAACGTTTTGGTACTAGGGGAATATTTCACGTATCCCCTGCGATTTTCACTCAGCACTTACTGTGTGAGCTGACAACTTTCCCAAAGCAACAAATTAGCACCTCGAATGAAAGTGTGATGTTTTTGTATTTTTAATCCACTCTAAGCGAACCGGTGTCATTTTTCTCTTCCTTAGGAATAGATTTGTTGTCATGTTGCTCGAACAATGTTTGGTTGTCCAATATGCCGCAGAGCGCAATAAACACAAGAACAGACTGATATTCAAAGTGAATAGGACTTTTTTATGTTGCGACTTCAAACTGCCTTGATTTTACTGTCGTTGACCGCTCTTCCTCCTCATGGGCTTCTATTTCTGTGCTTTTCCATTGTAACTCCTGTGTTCGGGAGCGAACATGTTGATTAAGCAGTTTTTACCCCCTTCTGTTTGTTCATATTCAAGGCGAATACTAAAAGAATACTAAAGTGTCGGCCGGCTCGCCCTATATTCCTAACGAAAGCGCTGTCTTTAGCGCTTTGTTCAAGGTCCAGCCCTGTTTCTGTTACAAGTTAAATATTCTCCTGGTGGGAAAAGATGACTAACTTCCGTTGTGGAGCATGGGGCATGGAGAGAGGGACCACCGGAGCCATGGGCTGAGTCGGGCAACGTTCCTATCAGGTGGCTTTTGGGGAAAGTCTTAGGCAAACCAGTCTGACTCGGATGTTACGGAGTACTGTCCTTTAATCCTACTGTTTGTGAGTAGTGCCCGCGTTGGACTTTCTTTCTTATAACCGTTTGAAGGCTGCATTTAACTGCATTGATATGTTCCTTAGAAGATTAATCGGTAATATCGCAGTTGGTAGCCAGGCATTGTACGGTAATACTGTCGACGTACGTACTTGTTATCAGTAGGTGTGCTCTTACTGAGTTAGGCAGGTCGCTCGTTTCGGTCAGGCTGTTGGGTTTAGTGAGGGTTAGGGTTAGGTGTAGGTTAAGTTTTAGGATTAGGGTTTGCGTTTTAGGGTCAGGTTTCAGTGTTAGGGTTAGGGTTCCCTTTAGGGTTACGGTTAAGGTTAGGCTTATGACTAGGTTTTGGGTTAGCGTTGGGTTTTAGGAGTTTGGTTACGTTTCGGTTTTGAGGCTTGGGGCTAGGCTTTACGGTTGAGTTCAGGGTTGGATTTTAGGGTTAAGTGTAGGGTTTGCATTTCTGCCATTATTCCACCTACTTAAAACTTCCCAGCACTTTCGCTGGTAACTTTACTTTTACCCAGACACTCCAGCATTCCTCTATGAGCCCTTCCATTTACCCCACCCATATAACCCCCTGTCCCACCATTCCCGTGCGACAGGGACCTGGCTGTCCGCCTCCCCATTCCTGGCTACCAATTGCGATCTAACCGATTAATCATTCCATACAATTCGTGTGAAAATTGGGGCTTATATTATAAATATTTATGTGCCACCGTTTATTGTGTAATTTCTGATGGATTGTAAAATTGCTACATTTTTAATTAGCCCTCATTTTTCTGGAATTTCTAATAATAAATAACTCTACTCACGAAACGCCCTGGACTAAATCAAGTCTCTCATTCGTAAACGGTAGTTAATCCTCCTGGTCAAGATCAATTATGTGAACTCAGCAGCAGGACATGGCAATAGGTACGCCCCGCCGAAGTGATAAAGCTGGACCTGCGCATAATTCTGGAAAGACAAAATATTCCCCTGTTCTAACCCCAACAAAAACCCTTATACAGAACCAGGCCGTTTCCTTAGTCTTAACGCTAACCATACCATAAACCTTAACTCTGCAGTCAGAACCAACCCCTTCCGTAGTCCAAACCTTGGCCATAATTTGCCTTACCGTTAACTTGTAATCTATCCTTAAACCTAGTCCTTAACCTACCCCTAACTCTAACCTCAAGCCTAACCCTAATGTCACTAGAAATTGGCTCAAAGCTACCCGTATTGCCGGCGGTTCCTGTACTCATGTCCTGGTTAGGGGGCCATATAATTCAGTCCTACCTTTCTGTGTGATCTTACCAGGGTCGATGCAGGTTTTGGTTCCCTCTGATGCAGAAACCTCGCCGATGTGCTCATATTACGATCTGCGTAAAGTGCTTACCAAGTACCTTTTTGGAGAAATCAGGGACTGTCGTGCCCGCTACTGCGCCAGTAATGGCACATAATAGATCAGATTACAGATAAATGACTGCACACGTAGGAAAACTCTCTGGACGGGAAATATGGCACGCATGCCTGCTTCGTCGCATGCTCCCACGAACTTCTTCCGGTGATGTGGCAACATGACTCACTGTCATCAAACCAGGAGGCTTTCCAACCCCCGGACGCTGGTGATGATGAATCAGTGTGAGACGCTGGCGGCTGCGCAGGGGGGCACAGCTACTCAGGGCTTGACCTCGTTCGCGCCCAGTTCGCCAGCAGCCACGGGCTCCATCGGGGACCGAAAGTGGGCCCGATGGAGGACAGTCGTTGCCACGGCAAGACAGCTTGCACCCGCGCGCGCGTGTAACACGCAGCGTCCACAACTTACTCCTCTGTGATCCCTTTAAAGCATTCTTTCTCTTGCCTGGTTGTTTGAAAACCTCCGGCAAATGCACGGGAATCCTTTTATTTCCTGCCTGTGACCTGCTTACTGGATATCCTTGATGCATTTCTATCCCATCATTTCAATTCCCCGGTCATTTGCACACTGGGGTATATAAGGTTACTAGGGTCTACAGTCGGTCGGATTTCCTTTCGTGGCCGTGCCTGCAGTTGACATGCCCTAGGCTAACCCCAACCCCTAACACCCTAATCCAAACCCCTAACCACAACTCTCACCCCTAACTCTAACGCCAACCCCTAACCCCAGCCTCTAACCATTAACCTCAACATCTAACCCCAACCCCATAACCCTAACCCCTAATCCGAACCCCTTACAGGTACGGCTATGAAGTAAGATCTTGCCCTAGAGTTTTCAAGTCGTGTGATAATTAATATAGCAAGCTTACCGCTTGGTGCGTTTTTCCTATTCATCCCGGTACACTGGAAGGGGTATTATATTTTCCGAGTCTGCAATCTGACCACTTACATCTACAATAACAATAATTGGGGGCCACAGAATCACCTCGTTTTGGCCTTAGATCTGACAAGTCGGCAAACATGCCCGATGAGGGGTGGGTGTTTTTTAACGAACAGACGCGCAGTGTTCAAAGACTACTTGCCAGGGTGCTTTCTGCATTTTTGGAAATGATCGGTTACTTTGCGTATCATATTCGCACCAAAGCAGGAAGCAGGATCGCACCTTAAACTTCATTTCTTATATTCTTCTTTGCGTTTATTTTAGCTAAACACGGCACACTGAATTTCTTGATGGCTACCCACGCCATGTTGCCTTCCGAGGACTGTTTTAGACGTAAGTTCCTCTATCAGGATTTGTATGAATGTCTAACTGGGCTCCTGTCAAAGTGTATCCCTGTGGTCCTCAACAGGTCGCCGCAAGCCATGCCTGTCGGTAGTTGTCAACGTTAGCAGTGCAGTCAAAGCCTGACCGAGTTGAAACCACCTTATATAGGAGGCATGCGGATTATAAGTACTGAGGAATAATAATCGGACTGGGCATTTATGGTTTATATGTCGTCGACAGTTCATCCACCTTGGGTCCGAGTATTATCAAGCTTTTCCTGCCGTCTCCAGGACTGTCAGCACTATCGCCATGAAATTAAGCTGAAAACAACTATTTAAATATCTGAGTCATTTAACGAGTGTATAATATGGTACCGGCGATTGTTAGACGCCAAGCTGAGACTTTTGACTACTGCGGCCTCTAAATAAGATGGCGCTTTTGGCTGACAGAGCTCAATGATCAGTCAAAGGCAGCTCCTGTCAACGACGTTATGAAAGGCCTTCGTTTCAGATTACTTACTGATGTGTTCAGTCAGTCCACGGCTTTTGTCATGACTCTTACCTGGATTAGCGCCCTGTAGTGGGTATCTGCAAAAACATTGCGGGGTTTCATACTCCAGGACCCGGAGAGAATTTTGACCCAACATTCTTCGGTGTTTTAAAACGAAAAGCCAATTGGTCGGCGAATGCTAAGTCGACGGGCTCATCTCTCGTTCGGTGAACATGTCGGCGATCGATCAAATACGGCCTCGGCACAAAACTTACCACATTTTACCGGATCCCCGATGATCAGCCTACTCGAAAGGCGAATGCGATATGCTCTGTGGCTAATCTGCCCTTTGCAAAAATGAAAATACACAGCCAGCAAGTTTGTCTGCTGACCACAGTCGAAACCAAAAGGAAAAATATTATAGAATGCAAAGCTTCACTGTCATCCCTCAGTTCATCAATGAAGCTACAGTAACGCCTGTCTGCACACTTGCTAGAGCCTGGGAAACATCGTCGGCTAGCTTAGTATTTTAGAGAGTGCCTCGTGAAGTCTCGTAAAACAGAACTTTAAGTCCGGGTCGCCTGGCTTTTATTCATAGGAGATGCCTGTGGATTCTAGGTCTTTTGGCCAAAGGACGGCCTGTCATATATTTCTCGGACGAAAAACATAAACTTCGACCCTGCCTCGAACCACCTTAACGATGAAACACCCCTGCCTCTTCTTGGTTTTATTTTGGTGACCTCAGACACCAAAAATTACCCTCATTTGTGCCTTTGAATGTGGTCTGTTGTGATCTTGGTAGTTTTTATTTATGGCCTTAAAGACCTCACACAGCGACACACGACTTTGAATATGTCCTGACTGACTCGAAAGAGGCCACAGTAGTGTTTGAGTAAAAGAAGTGCAACCTTCAGATATGACAACTCTCGATATAGTAGATTAACAGGTCTGACTGAAACTTCATTCACATGAAAAGCCCCCAAACTCTTTACTGAAAAGATTTTGGACAGATGGCCGAGATATTTCTTTTGAAGGTCTTGCGAACCTCTTCATGAGAGAATTGGAAAAACTGTAGAGTAGTTGCAATTTTTGCGCCTTGCGAAGGCTTTGTGGAGGCACATTGAGTTTTCGAAGGCGAAGGTATTAAGGCGGAATTTAGAACACCCATTTAAAGTATTGTTCGGTCATTTCATTTCACTACGGGTTGCTTCTTACCTGCCGTTGTCCGAGTGTACTCTTAGTTTGACACTGGGGAAGGGGGGGAGAGAAGGAAGAATTGGATGAGTATGTACTTCCCCATACTTAGGCGGGCGCGACTTCCGCGTGGTGCGACTAGGTCTGACCGCAGCCGGCATTGTGTAGGTCAGTAGCTCGGGGATCGGCTATTCTGGGCTCGGTTCAAGACCACTGACTCAGGTCGAAGGCTCACATCACTCCAGCCTGGGCTCAACTCAGGACCGGTCGTTCACGCAATTGCACCTCTTCTGGCACGTCAATTTCAGTTAAACAGACTGTCAGGTAAGAGTTGGAACAGATGACTTTGCCTAGGTTTGATTTCCAGATCTCTCAGTTGTCTGCAAAATAAGTCTGAAACACTGAACTAGTTGTCTAAGTAGCTAACGGCTCTCCTCTATCCTTTTTAGCCTGGGAGATCAAAACGTTAATGAACTTGCCGTATAACTGGATAGGTAATATGCCACCGCAAACTGATGTACAGGAAGTTGTAAAGTTCATCGCAAACTTTCACAGTAAGTTGTGCTTCGTTTGGAACAATTTGTTTCTAGCCCAGGCCCAGTCCGTGACTTGGTGTTACAGCCAAAGGTCCTTTTCCGAAGTTTATTTTAAATAAAACAATTTGCATAACATGGAGCTATTGAGATGGTTTGTTCACAGAAGAGGCAAAATCACTCCGCACTCCCAGTAAAGAACCAGTTACTCCATCGACAGGGGTCTCACCTCTTCCCTTAAGTCTAGTGTGGGGCTGGAAATCCGTTTAATTTCCGCCTAAGTAGCCTCTTTTGGGTTTGTCAATCATTCTAAGGAACGCCTGGCAGCCCAAATACTGCTTCTCATTGGTCATTCATGCAGTAAATTTGATAACTCGTGAAATGTTAACCGAAATGCTGAAATGCGTTTTCAACTCGAAAAGATTACTTAAGTAGGGTTGCAGTATTACTCACCATACAGCATAATCCAAGATATTTCAGTTACACCTCGATGCCGGCTTTTGAACAAACTTCTTTTCAGCCGTCTGCGGAACCTGCATTCGACAAAAACAACTACTTAAGTAGTATGATTTTTTCTCATCGATTTTCGGCGCCCTTTTAAATTCAGATATATTTCATAGAAAACATGCATAAAAGTACTCATTTGGTGGAGACTTACGAATTCTTTAAATTGTCTACTAGAAGGAAGGATATAATTCGGTTTTAAAATCTTATAATTATGAGATTTTTTGAAAGCGTGAAATGCCCGCTCATAAAGCATCTTATCTCTGCACTTACTAATGTTGCTTGTAAAGTGTGCAATATGGCTCAACTCCACTGCCTAATTTTATGAGCCCCGTACTTTCTCCTCTTAATACCGGATATAATTATGTGATTTTCCTTTCACATAAAATATACTGCATGTAGTTTGGAAACCCTGAATTCAAATGTAAAGGCGGGTCGAGTTCAGAATTACTCTGGAATCTGAAAAGTTTTTAAAAACCGAATAATACCCTTCTTTCTGGTATAAAATTTATGGAAGTTGTAAGTTTCAACCAAATGAGTAAAAGAATGAATACGTTTATGCATATTTTCTATGAAATATGTCTGACTTTAAAAGGGCGCCGAAAACCAATAAGAAAAATCCATACTAATTAAGTAGTCGTTTTCGCAGTGTAGCTTCCGCAGGCGGCCGAAAAGAAGTTCATTCAAAAGCTGGAATCAGAAAGTTACTGAATTACTTCGGGATTATGCTGCGTGATAATTAATATTACAACCCTACTTAATCAATCTTTCCAAGTCGAAAACACAGTACAAAATTTCGGCTAACATTTAACGAGTTATCACATCTACTGCAGGTCCGTGTGAACTTATCATGCCAAAGTGGAACCGCTTTTCGACTTGTACACTATGCAAGGTGGACTAGAGTGATTCGACTAGGCTTTTCAGTCATAGTTGACGTACGTATACAATAAACTCGCTATAACAGTCGGTTGTATTTCTGCCTCTGAGACTATGATTGAGACTGCCTCATCCGCCTGCTTATTGCATCAATCGACGCTGGGGAAATGTCGAAAGTAGATAGTGAAAGTAAACGAAGTGGACTGCAGTAAGTTAACCATTTTGGAGGTCGTAGAAAACGCTAGTGGCATTGTCTGGATGCCGCTTTTGATAGAGTTTCAAGCAAAAATGTTGGAGACATTTTTTCCGATTAGACAGTCGTTCTCACTCTGCAAGAGTTGGTGGTGGAGTCTGGTTTGACGCCATCCTAATCTGCTTCATAATTCAATCTTTTTCATTGTTACTTCAACTCCAGCAAGTATGATTCTGTGGTCGGCGCCCATCAGGCATGCGCCGAAAGTGATCTTGCCAATAAAAACAATGAAGCTTCTGTGTCTGATGGGTCTACCGTTTTGGAAGTAAGACTCGATGTATTGCAGTAACTAGGGGCCAAACCACCGAACCCCGAATGTAATTCTCATGCTCTACAAAAGGAGTATTGCAGCCGCGTCGGTCGGCTGAGCCGTTAGTTCATATTCCCTTCCTCCTGACTCTAGCCGCCAATATCTTTTGTTTCAGCGACTCTTCTATTGAGACTGCGAGGGAAACCACCTAAATCTGAATAGATAACAGTGTCACAGAAACTTCACCCGGTTCACATTTACAGTAATTGTTGCATTTTTAAGGCACGCGGAGAATTATAGAATTTGCATACGTAAGACTATCTTGTAATTCTTTCAGTTGATACCCCACCCCATTGTTTGCTGTTTCTTTTGATAACCGGATGCATCCACATTGTTTAAAATAATCGTATGCTTGGATGATGCGCCCACTTCACTGATTTGTACATTCTCGACCAGGATAAAGGACACTGGCGTAGCTTACACCAACCTCCGTGGTCTGTGCGACGTTGGTGCCCTTCGAGTGTTAGTGTTATCCATCGTGCATAAGAGTTAATGACAAGCATAAAATAATTGTCCGAAAAACATCGCATGAGTTAACTGGTGTGATCTTATTATTGATGTTGGAGTGCGTTGCTGCATGCTTCACCGGAAGCCGCAGTGAAATATTTTGACTCGGTTCGGTCTGTGCTCTTCGTGACACGACGTCTCTAGGCCTCCAGCCTGAGTCATAAAGTTATATAATTAGGTAACATTTACGAGCGTTCCTAGTCTATTGATTGCTCCAAATTACCACCTTCGAAGTTAACTCTGTGGTCTCATGTCTGGAGCTTTTACCCTTTTCTGGATTGAGATTGCTCGGTCCAAGTTCTTACCAAGCTCCCCAATGGTAGGTAGGCAGCGGAACTGAATAACAACGCCAAGCCGTCCAGAAATTGTAGTTTGTTTTCCTTTCGCCCTGTGTAAAATGCTGTCAAGGTTTTTTACACGCTGATATCGATACGGTATACTTACTTTGATAAGACACGGGATTAGGGACCTCCGTTAAACCTTTAACCCTGGTCCTAGCTCCAATCTCCCTGGAAATTAGCCCAAAGCTACCCGTATTACGGGGAGGGGGGGGGGAGTTCCTATTCCCGTGTTCTGCCGTTGCTTTTCAAAAAAGGGTACTTTCGGAGAATTATCTGGCCCTGATAGCATATGCACCTAAACTCGGGTGAAAATCCCCAGAGTTGTCGAATTTACTATAAGTCTCAGATGAACCAGAATCGTGTTACGCCCAAGTCAACTGCTAATTATGCCTTGACGTCGACCAGGAACGGATATTGAAAAACTCGAATAACCAAAACGATGTGCTTCTATCCTAAATCTCTCGCCCCACTAAACTATCTGTCTCTGTTGTCCCTAACAGTATAGCCCAGGCGATAGAAGTCTTCAAACACATTGTATAACTCAGTTTATTTCTTATTCTCCTAATCATTCATTCTGAGGTACCATGAGTAGAAAAAACTGCGGTATATTTCTTCACGCTCGATGTTTACAGTATTTTTCTTGATTCTGTCACCCAAATACCCCGTAGTTACAGCTCTCGTGTCCAAATTAAGCAAGACATTCCTCTCAATTTGGTTGGGGTATCTCTCGTATCAACCGACTGTGCACCTTGAGTGCAAAAACTACCTACTCCGTTAGTCCTGGAGTACAGTTTTACGCCTCTTATGACGTAATTTCCTGCAAAACGTTCCCTTTCCAGCAGGACAAAACTACAGTACCTAACCCACTTCGCCTCTATTTGCATGCATTAGTGCTCTTCACACGCCACTTTGACCCAGAGGGTCTTGATCCTAACGAAAGAAGGGCCTTAGAGAATCAGAATCAGAACTTTATGGAGATTCTCCAACGCATCTGTCCCAGCCCAGAAGAGGCTGCGGGAAAAGGGTAAGTCTTGAGACATGTACTCCTGCCTGTTCTCACTTGCAAGACGAACTTTTCTCCAAACAACCGGCTCTGTGTCCAGAAGTGCGCTCTTTTGGGCATCTCTTCACTATCGATCTTCCTGCGCTAGAAAAAGTATTTAAAAAGAGTCGGGCTGAAAACTTCTTCAGGTTATCTGTACTGTATATTAGTCAGCTGAGACAGTGGAGCATCCAACTTCCGACTGTACAGGGCGAGAAATACAACAACGATAATGCAAATTTTAATCATTATCATGGTGGTCAGTGACTTTGAGGTAAGACGCAGGTTCGAAAACCAGCACGGCTCTTCTCTTGCTGATAGTCAGTTTTACAATAATCAAGCCCTAAGCGATTCGTCTTTGGGCTGTTCGTAACTTTTTCACGGCGGTTTAGGATTGGGCATGTGCGGAAACTCGTGAAATGTGCACTCCACTCTTCAAATACGTTTCCAAGCAGAAATAATCACGCAGTTGAAGTTACAGTGCCGTTTAGCGCAGACCATGGTCCCAAGCCGCTGTATGAAGGGCGACATGTCCACTTCTGACGGGGTAGATTTCCAACTCTCTGTGTAAAATGAACTGTGGAGCATAAAATTGAACTGGCATTATGTATTTTTCCAATATGTTTGCGAAGCTCTCATAAAGTCAATGACATTTCCGAGAAGAAGAGCACAGAAATTTCATCTACTTTGCGCGCTTTTCATAAAATTACCTCTCCAAGCATGTACTTTAGAGAAGTGGGCTCTCCGATCTATAGCAAGTTTGCATTTAGGGAACTTTTGAGGCCTTCGCACTACTGTTCGTGAGATCGGGTACTCTCAGGCGTTTTAATGTCATTCAAAAAGTATAGAAGACAATATTCTATGAGCACCAGAAGACCTCCCCGTACCGACATGAATGTGTCAGTTAATTTTTTTCTAGAAAGCACATAATCTGAAGTGTCGAAACCTTAGATAAGATCAAACTCAGGCCATGCCTGTACGTCGCCGCATAGGGGCTGAGCCTTTTTTAACTTAGTTTTTCAATCAACAGCTTGATCGCACAGGACTATTTCCGCAGCTTGTCTAAAGATAGGAAGACCATGTTGGCAGGCGAATGTCATCTTCTGGAGATGTTCGTCCTGGTCACCTTTTGAAGAAGCATTGAAGGGCATAACAAGGCGGCATTAATCTAACATCGGAGTACAAATCTAGTTGCAGCGACGGAATTCCGCCGGCCTTCTCGGACGTTACGCATGAAGCCACAACGTTTTTTTGGACCAGCAGGAGGTAGGGATCGGCCTCCAGTAAGAAAAGTATACGGTCATGTCTGTTTTACTCCTGTCGGCAGACAAACTATAGGAGGGAGAATAAGAGATATGGTAACCGGAAACGAATGTTCATGACGTTTACCAGATCACCCCAGACCGTAAACTGAGAATGATTGGGGGGCGCCATAGCAATATTTGAAGTCAGGACGTTTTCCGTCAATCCTCCTGTGTGGCATATTCTCCTCTTTCGCACACACGGGTCGAAATATGGCAGGTACAGCGCTTCCGTTTCGAAGACCGGGGGAGTCCATATAGTGATAAACGAAAGTCACCATCTGGGTTCACTGCAGTCGATTTAAAATACCGACTGGACGCTGACGCACCAACAGCCCTTTCAACACAGTCTCCGTAGTTTTGACAGATAATCCGGGGAATTGTCCGTTTGATCAATTTGTTGTTATTATAAAGTCGAAGTTAAAAGCAAATCCTTGTTTGTTCTTCGACGTGACAGTCAGCGAACAACATTCTTCACGTTTCATACCAGTCAGTATTTCTACCTCACTGAAACATTGGTTGCCAGTTAAAAGCATATTATAAATGTCTAGTGCTTTATATTTGGTTAGCCTCGACGCATACTGCTAACCACTATTTTTTATTATGGTCGTTGCAGAGAGCGCTGCCTGGTTAGTGCATTTGTTGGTTGCGGATAGTTGCAGTGACGGTAAAATGCTTAAAAGTAGTCGGCTTTTGGTCCAATCCACCAAGAATAGTAAGTGTACGTAAACTGACAAAGGACCCGATTTTTGTATTGGTCCGTCTCGAATGACCGGAATCACCGCAGCAACTTTACTACAGTTTGCGAATCCTGTGCTTTCGTTGTGGTGGCCGGGAATCTTTACTTTCAAGCCTAAAAACTTTCGATGTAAATTATTCCTGATAGATGAATTGGATTGAGTCTCTACCGCCAACTTTGAGCATGGACTATGCGAAGGGTACTGACAACGAATAAAACTGAGCAGTTAGTTTGTTTACTCCGATCGAAAAAATTCCGGCATGCACATATATGCACACATTTATTTTAGATCCGACGATATTATTCTCCAACTGAAATAACTGGTTGAGTCGTATCCCCTTAGCAAGATATATTATCATCATTGTTATTGAGACGTACTGACTCGGGAGGCTTCCCATTGGGCAGATAGCTCGGTCCTTCTTTAGACTGAAGAGAAGGTTGTAATGGCTGGCTCCCTTTAATGTTGCCTTATGCTTAATCTTCAAAATAGGGCATCTGAAGATCTCTTTTTAAGCTTGATTCGTGCGCCTTCGCACACATGGCACGAGTAGAAGTCGGCCAACCACGTCAGCTACTGTGCATGCATCTCTCTCCGGTCGTCCAGACTTTGTCATGTCATTAAAAGAGGACGTGTGCAACTTTTTACGTAAATATGTTTACCAGCTCCCTGTTGACGCTCGGTTTATTTATTTTGAGGGCTTTGGACAAGACAGGAGGGCAAGTTGCATGCTGTCCCTTCCACAATGTATTCTCTCACAGTGGTTAACTAGTTTTATTGCCGAAAATTGAGACAGGTAACTAGCCACGCGAAAAATGAACCCAACCTGTGAACTCGGTACTACTGTTTCCTCGGCTAGTCAAAGGGTAAAGGTCATCATTTACTGGTTGTCATTTGAAACAGACACGACTGCAACTAGCAACAGGCCGGTTATCCTCTGTTCACCGGTGCGAACGTTTTTTCGTCCGCGCCGACGAAAACTAGGAGCCTTCTTTGCGACAGAGAAGCCGTAACAAGTAGGCAGTACTTGCAACCTTTTCTGATCGATCCGCAACCAGAGTCGCCTGCTTGAAAATGCGTTCGCGAGGCCCGGTACAGGGAAAGAATTAAATCACCCGAATTAACCTGTCTGAACTGTCGGTTTCAGTGATTTCTCGCTTTATCCTGCTGGTGCCTAATCCCGTCGAGTTATGAATCCCAACGACCAAACGACAACGAGAATCCTGATTGTATTTGTCGGACTGCGGGGGCGGAGTTGGGGCGGCGGTTATGCGAGCACGAACTGCCAGTACATAGAGGTTATCCCAGGTTGTCCCTTAAGTCCTAGAAAGAGACTATGATTTCAGCCTGGCCTGCACATCGATAATCGTGCGGGCCACCAACAAAGTAGGCGAGGAATTCGTTTATGTCTGGGATTTCAACAAAACGTGCTAAAGCGGCTGATTTGACTCCTTTCGGTGTACCAGCCCTCATAAACACATTGTCTAGCAGGCGAAACCGGTCGCTCAGTGCCCAAACAACACTGGAAGTACAGTTCACTTGTGCTTACTTCTTTATACTTTTGCTCTTAGACTCTGGTATAACACCGATAACCCCCGAGAATGAATGTTCCGTGGAATTGACTGGAAATTCTGTCCATTATTTGCAACATTATAGTTATCAGACCCGAGTCTTTTTCCCTACAAAATAAACAACTGTCTGCGCGTGTGTCTTCGTCACGTAACATCGGTTTCCTGATGATACACATGTGTGTACACTGGATCCGTAGTGAGGCGAGTGGCAAGGCTCCTGAAGGAACGCTTTTCGTATTTTGCCCCTAAAAGGGGGTCATGTGGGAGTTGCGCTGGACCAACACGGAGGCCAGATCAGGGTACGACACGCGTTACTGGACCACGCAACCATGTCTAATGCCGTACATGGGCGAGGTGTGGCGGTACGCTTAGACGCAAGTTTTCGCCGCGCCAACCACCTGCGCCCGATCCCGTCTCAGATCTTCTTAACTCTTTATTGACACCGGACGAAGGAGGGTGAGGAGGAGGGAGTGCGGTAGATTCGGTGCAAGTCTGATATCATTGTAAGGTAACGATAGGGTGAAGGGCTCACAATTAACTTAAGCTAGACTGTGGAACGTGTCATACGTTGAATAGTGGTAGAGGGGGTTTTGCGCGTGAGACAACCCACAGGACGGAGAGCAAGAGGACACAGAAGATGGATAAATTTCTGTCGAAAGTCTTATCGTACGCTGTCATTTGGCAAAGAAAGTGGGCACGATAATTAAAAAATAAGCAGAATCAATTTTGCAAAATAATGGACTTTGAATAAAACACCGCTGGCAAGTTTCCATTTAGTCAGGAAGCGAATGAAACTCGAAACAATGGGAACAGTGAATAATAAGTGATGTTTACGGTCAAACTGAATTTTAAGGTATATTTTTGTAGTTGTCATCTACTTGTGGTTCCTACACCCTATCGTTACTCATTGTAAACCAACTCGCCTCTAAATCGCCGTCCCAACGCCCACCTTGTTAGAGCGCACACAGTGGACACCACCGGGGACGGTCGAACTGTCATTAAGCAGTGAAAGTTAACACCGCTTACTGCGAAACACCTAGCGACAGAAGCGGGGCTTCCGCTTTCCTACTCCTCTCCCCCCCCCCCGGCCAAAACTCTTCTGCAAATCCCATTCTGTGAGGTCCGCTACCGCGTTGTCTATCGCAGCATGGCTGTTTAACTGGTTGGCCCAATTAATTCCACAACAGACAGTGTTTACATGGCTTTGTCAGCAGGTGTGTGTATACGCGGGTGACCTGACCCAGACACTTGTTTGCGCCCTTGTCAGCATTCTAACAATTCCTGTCTGATCTCTTGACCAGACCGTTACATCGGACGCTTTATTTCGTGCGTTTCTGAGGTCTGTTCCAGTTGCCTACCCATGTGAGAAATGCAGTTAGGCTTTCAATGCCACTTACTGGAGCTTGTTTGTGTTTATCGTGGATTTACTCATGCCGTATTCCGCTGTGCATTTGTTTTCCAGGATAGCTTTAGTGAATAGATAGGCTGAGTGTGTTTACTAGAGAATTGTCCCACAACGTCTCCTGTCACCCCTCTTTACCATCCATGGCAGTCAATCAGCAAGCACCTTGCTGATTGTTTGAAACCCATTTTTTGCAATGAACTCGGACGTGCAAAAACTCCGCAGGCCAATATGGGTTGCCTAACGGTAAGCTGATCTTAACTTCGACTACAAACAACCCGTTCCGTGTGGAAGCCCTTCCGGCACAGTCAGTAAGATGTAAGTGTACTGGAAGAGGAGCACTCACGTGCTCCCCGGCAGGAAATAGGAAAAAGGACGTCCTCCCGTGATACAATTGATCTTTCGTCAAATTGCAGGAAAGTTACCTATTGCCATGTCCCAACCCTAACCTTAATCCTAACCCTGACCTTAATCCTAACCCTAAATTTAACCTTAATTTTATTTCCACTCTAAACCTAGACGCAATTCCCCTGGGCTATGGCGCAAAGCTACCCCTATTACGAGGTTCTTTTTCGCTTGAGCTGCCGGGAAGGGGGGGGGGTCACAGTAGTGATCCTCATCGGATAATGATCTCTTCAGAGACTGTGACCTTATCAAATATTTCAGAAGAGTTAATCTCAAAATTTTTCCTAATAAATGATATCACTGAGATGTTTTGTCGAGATTCGATTTATCTGCAAATTGAACTGGCGATAAAAATCGATCAGCCCCCGGTTTGTGTCACAGAATTCCTTTTGACAAAGGTCATTTGTTTTTCACAAATCCCTCCCCAAATTTCAGGACCGTAGAAAAGACCGACGAGCGGTCGTATGAGGCCTCCGAGGATCTCCTTCTAGAGGCCTACTGTGTCCCCTTAACGTGGGAGGATCAACGTGCTGCCACCAATGTGACCATAAGACATGCCCCGCAAGGTCATGAATTTGTGTACAAGGTAGGTCGTCGATGTACCCATATATTCGAACAAAACTCCGAGCTCAGGAGAAGATGTTGTCAGATATATCAAGTGGGTTGCGACAAACATTCTGAGTACAACCCAGCATCTACTCTCTTGTCATACCCCTTTGATATAGAGAAGTATCGGGAGACAGTACCAGTTTTTGCCTGTCGGATTACAAAATCATCATTTCGCACCTGTCTGCAGCGTGTCCCTTACTGCTTTGACTTGCTTACCTCACACGTCATGTTAACACGATGGTATTTTGGGCGTCAAACTGCAGTTATTCTCGAAGTGTATAGCCCGATTGCTTAGCTAGTTGACTTGAGAGGGGGAAATCGACTTCATTTCTGCCAAAAACTTTGAATTGAATGAGAGAGGACGCAAAAGCCAAAGTGTGCAGAACTGGTAATAGTCTTTGTAAAAATATCTGCCCTTTCTACCAATGTGCCTTCCAGGCAGATTGCTGAGTCCAGTCCAACTACCAAAAGTAAATGGTACAACCGCTTACAAGGACGAAGGCAGCGTTAATCAGGTTCCACTGTCAGATACTGTGCGCTCGAAGGAACATCATTCAGACTCTGTAGTTACCTTTACCCTGAAGTGTCTAGCCCGATATCTGCGTGCAGCCTGGAACAAGGTAATTATTCATCAATGCCTGCAACATTATCCGAAATTCATAAACCCTTGATGGAAATTCTCCTGTGTTGTGCAATCAGAGGACCCGCCTAAGGAATGTCACAATGTAAACAAATATAGAAAACAAAACCACTACAGCCTTCTTTCTATCAAACATTCCTTGTCCCTTGTGATAGTCTAACCTAAGTGTTACACAAGTACTACATATCTTCCAATTGTTCTCTGGTGCTTACATGCATACTTGGCCGAGTGTTTTTGGAAAGATTTGCTACAGGCTCACTCATAAAGGCTTTTTCAGGGAAATCGTACAATTCGAAAATCGGTGTTGGAAATTGCAAAAAATGCTTGTATAAATGTTGCAATCTTTTAATTTTTAAATGGTGTGATCAAGCATAACCGTATCTGTCAGTCTCCTGCTCACAAAGCGTATCTGTTGCTCCACCTATTTACAGACACGTTATGAGCTTCGGGATGTTCCGATATAAATGAGTTTTAGTTAGGCGGTAGGATGCTTTTGGAAAATGTTCACCGGTGCGTTCTGGAAACCTTAAAAACACGCGGATTTAAGCCATGTTCTTAAGGCTGTAGGAGTTTCGTTACTTTCAATTTTAAGATATTCAACAGCTTCACGTTCTGACGCTTAGGAATAAATAATTGTCTGTAGAATGAGTAATACTGTCTGGTGGAAAATACTAGTTTCCTATAGGCATTTTGCAGCTAAGGAAGGATATATTCAGCTGAAGAAACTTTCTAATGAAGCCATGGTGAGTAGGAAGTCGTGTCCTTGGTCAGAAAATGCTATTAGCCTATTCTCCGTGCGTGCCATTACTTACATGCTGTTTGAGTAGGACGTGCTACTGGAAAACACCCGGGGGTTTGCGTGAATGGCTCCCGACACAACACGCCCTTGATAAAATCTCGTTCTCTTAAAGGCTTATTCCATACTTCAGGGCGCTTACTTACTCCGTTTTCACGATTCGACTCCTCTCTTGTTGGCGATTGAGAGAACAGCCGAAGTTTTCTCAACTCCTTAGTTTTTGACTGGAAGCTTCTCTCCATATTTTTCCTTATTTTTTGGAGCTCACTGTTCCCGATACCAGTAGGTTTTTTAATCGGTGTACACTTTATAAATACGTTGATGAATGCAAATAGCAAACAGCTGTTGCACGCACATGAAATGGCTATACCTCCTCAATTCTTCAAAAAGCAACTATGCGAATGTTTTTTCTTTCCGAAATTGCTGAAATTTATTGGTCAAACCTCTGTGTCACCCACTGTATCCACCTAACTCGTTGCCGCTGGACAGATCCCGGATCCAATAAGACCATCACCACAGAGCACTCCCAAACTAGACCAAAGCGTATTTTTTTTCAGAAGAGTATTCCTCAATATCCCCTGATCATTTTCGGTGAGAACCTAGTAAATGTCTGCTTGTCCGACAGAAGATGAAGCAGTATGCAGTCGTAGGTTGGATGATTCATTTTTTACTAAAAAACACTTGATTATTTATGCGACCTCCTTGTCTCCCTCTCTTCGGCAGCCACCCCGTCCCGTGCGGGGAGTTGCTAGCCCGATAAAGGATTTCCGCGCACTCCAGGAGGGTTATGCTCACACATCGGCCTACCCAGACACTGAGGTTCATCTGCAGCCCGACTTCATCGTTTCGGCCAAGTCAGCCATCGCCCGTGGTCCCTACCACCGACATACTCGAGCCAAGCTCCGCACTCTGACCTAGTGAGTTGCGCTACTCACGACTGCATGTTTGTGAAAAAGCTTCCATTTAAAGTGTATACCAACGAATTAAGAGATTGAAGAAAGTAGGTTTCGAGGCTCACTGTTGTCATATCCGAGCGAATACTGCAGACCTGTGTCAACAGATTGGTGTATGTGCTGTTTCAGAGAAGAACAAGCTGGTGGTTCTTGGCGTGAAATGACCTGCGGGTGTATTGAGCCCCAGACGGACAACTGTTCTGCAAGGTCCCAGTATCACGGGAAACTCGCGCAACTCCTCTGTGCAAGAGAATTTCGCGTGATTCAATTTGCCGTAGTCTGGTCTGTCGTCTGCCACCCTGTAGGAGGAGTTTCACTGGATTCACTTGGTGACCCACCAGAGTCTCTGCCTTCTTGTCTTGTCGGTTTGTCTCGAGCCTGGTCGTCTTAACCATTCTGAGGTGCTCTCCGATGTCTGTTATTTCAGGGCGTCGGAGACACAAATTCTTCAGACAGAGGAGGATATGGATGTTGGATCTTAAGTTCCCTTTTCGACTGCAAAATTCCAATAAAGTCGGTGGCCTAAATCACCGTCATCACGGCTAGTGATTAGTTACTGGGGAAGAATGAGAAACGGTAAACACCCTGTGCTCTGAGTCCCAAAAACACTGAGGTGGGTGCATCACGCGTTTCGGTTAGACGCGATAATCGACCGGTTTGTTATCCAAGAATGAGGTTGGGTGGCTTTCCTAGGGAGGAATCGAGTTTCCTCTAAGGTACATTCTTTGACTTCACAGCAAGTGTCTCACTTATGGGAGGAGGAGATTTCAACAAGAATGATTACAGGAGTATTATGCTTCACGATTTCGTTGTACAGGGTACTACTGGGTCTGAATTCCTTTCCACGATGTCACGCTGTTTACATGCACACACGAGCGGTCTTTTGCGAAAGTAACTACGATTAGGATAAATAAAACAGGGTGAAATTCACAGATTAAATTCACGGGCTTGCCTATATTAAGGTCCATTCCGAGCTACGTCAGTTTTGTTTCTTTAGATTATTAATGTAACGAGATCTGGCTTTAAGATTGATGCAACACAAAGCGATATTTTGCACGATCACTGAGCTTGCCCTGTATGTGTTGTTCTGAGGGTTTATTTGCCATCTAAGGTTGACACAAACAACGCCGACGTTACATATGCCTCCCAAGTTCTCTTATATCGAGGCAGCTTAACCGCGTAGATACTGATTTTCTTCTTCGGAACAGTACAACGCACTCCAAACCTGTGGGGGTATCCGTTTTGGAGAAGGCTAATTATGGAAACCTGATGCAAAAAAGGATATGCACATCCCATGCCAAAGTTTTGATTTTCACAACATAAACATTTTGTACATCATGCGAAAAGCCAATATGTGGCCGTTTCGAAGCCATAAGTCCACTCGGAGTGAGTCATTGCTGCCCCACCTAAAGTGTTGTCAGTGTTGATTCGTTTCTGCCCCTCTGAGTGTTAAGGCTGTAGAGAGTTTTTAATTCCAACAAAGCAACCTGAAGGCGACTGTGAGCACCACTCGCCTGTCGGTCAGTGATAACTCCTTTTCGAAACGCAACCACTGTTGGAATAGAAGAGCTCTAAACGCAGCGCTGCAGCCGAAACGTGTGAATAGTAGGATAAGGCAATGAAGTGATACCGGTGTAAGTTTCGCATGCTTGCATTGCAAGGTTAAAAACGACAATTTGGAATACCGTGGCTGGAAACACCCTTTAAATATATCTGAAAGCAGGTTATTAAATTAGGAATAGCCCAGACAGGCAGGAGGGACAAGTAATTAACGAGGCGGTAAGATGTGGTTTGGTAGCCCCACCTGGACACTACTGTTGGCGTGGGTGTTAAGCGTTAGGATTTGGGTTAGGGGTAAAGGTTAAATGTTAGGTTTAGCTGTTGGGGTTTAGGATAAGGGGTTATAGTTATGGGTTGGGGTTATGGTTAGGAGTAAGCGCAACTATTTTTCAACCATTGAAATTACAACCACGCACTCCGAATAGCTTTTCTTTTGCTTACAACATGATACATGCAACAAAATGATATCAGTGTAAGTCTTGCATTCTTGCATTGAAAGGTTAAGAACGTCAAGTTGGAATACTCTAGCGGGAAACACCCTCTAAATATACCTGGAAGCAGGTTACTAAACTAGGAATAACTCAGACAGGTAGAAGGGACAAGTCATTAACGAGACTTCAGTGTGAATCCCTAGTCATTTAGCAAAAGGCAATACTGACTTCCCAATTCACATGTCCGTTCCAATGGAACGCGCCGGCTCCCCTCGACGCCTTAACATTAGTCTTAATCTCACTCGGGACGTTTGATGCCTAAAGTTTTCCGGACTTTTGGATGCATGTGAGGTCCAACAATCGTCCGGATTGCTAGGCCGAGGCTGTCCCGACTAGCGCTTTAGGTTGGTGGAGCCCACTCACAAGATAAATCACGACAAGGGAATTTATAAAAGGTCTGTTTTGCGATTGCTTTGTCACAATGCTGTCACCAGACTGCATCAGGTCTCAGCCCGCAGCATTTTGGTAAGATTGCTGCTGTCGATTCACTACGGTTTATCAGCTAGACGCACAAGTTTGCCTACTTCACAGCCAGTCCTCACTGAAAATTGTTCAACCATTCGCCCTCCGTGAACGCGATGAGTACCTAGAAGTTAAGCTAACACGCAGACCAGTCTTCCTAACTAGAGGCGACGAAGGAGAGTTTGCTCCCAACTCCAGGTCGGAAAATTTCATCAAGACAGGGAGCTGATTCTTGAACTGTCGGTCCTGTTTGCCGAAGCAGAGGATGGGTTGAATTCTCCAGGCCCGCTTCCATTCATCATCGGGCGTGGATAAGTACTGTCGGCAACACCCTTGTGGCCGACTCGATCCGACATGATCACATCCCTATCCATTATAGACGTAATTTTTTTCCTACATAGGCTTCGGATATAACTGCTTAATGACGGTAGATAAGGCACAAGTGGTCATTCCAGTCTCCCTAATTTTGTCATCTGTACGCTTCACACTTATATGGAGCTCAAAAGAGACTAAAGTATGTTATTAAGGTGTTGGGGACTAAATAATTCGAGTGGTCAGAAGCATTACATTAGGGATCGCATACAAACGCGGTGTATGGAGGGGATGGAAAGAAATGCTTGACATATGGCGTCCTAACGCAACACATTCCGTGCGTGCTGCCTCCCTATAGGTCTGAAACGCTATCATTCTCAATTGTCCTACACCACACTTCAGGCAACTATGTGGCGTCAGTTTAGACTATAGTATAAGACTGGGATATTCTTCCTACATCGGTATGTTAAAGATGAGCCTCCCCCCACTTCTGAAGCCGTAACGTAGAAGTAAACGTGCTTCCCCATAGTTTTGGAAGGCAGTTTATGTCTCTATGAGTATGAAACACTTTCTGTGGTTTTATCGAGAGTTTTTGCGTCTTCAATCCGTAAAAATTCCTATTTACGTATGTGCCAACTACGACCCAGGCTAACGTTATGGCCTTCTCTTTGTTTCCTTTGCGAAGCACAAGTGAAGGGCGGCTGAATTTCACTTTCCGGCCTTAACAGCATTCACGGTCAACAAAACGTGTGCGTTGTAAGACCGATAGCATGTTTTGGAAAGGTTTTAACGACTGGATGACCAAATAAACCCCATTTGCATTATATTTTTGCAGGGAATGACCTAAATTTCACATCATATTGCAGACGTTTTCGGATGAAAACGCATACACACCTAGAAATTTGCATAAGTTCTGGACGATCCCTTCATAATTACAGTAAATGTGGTTTCTCGTGCAGTATAACATGAAATTCTGAAATGTTTTCGATTTGATGCGATGCTGCATGAATGGAAATTTCACGGTCTTAAATATCCCATAACTAGAAATTTTTCCAAAACCGAAAGGTGCCCTTTTTCAAGTAAAACATTTAAACAAGACGTAATAACAAATTAGTAAAAGAGAGAATATTTTCGTGAGTGTTTCCTGCATAATTCATTTAGATTTTGACGAGTGTCTAAAGTTAGCGGGGAAAATTTGCACTGCATAAGCAATTATTTTTTTATCGAGCGTATTTTTTGTAGACGGCAGAAAAGAAGCTCAGTCAAAAGCCGGCATCCTGGTCTGGATGAAATATCTTAGGATTATGTTGTGCGATAATTAATATTACAACCTAGATTGCGTAATTTTTTCGAATAATTCATACTGACCCAACTATGGAAAACTCGGTATCTCAGTGTGATTCGAACCCAGGAAAGCAAAGGGAAGGCTTCAGTACAGTCAACGCTCTAGCCACACGAACTAGGGGGCGTAACTCAGGGACATGAGTCTAATTACATTTGGGTCACGTTACCCACCCAACCTACTGCAGTGTCTATTAATTACGTGTGCCTGGTAGTCATCTGGTGGATTCTAGATGGATTTCTTAGGAAATCCTGCTTGGATAGTCAGCTTACTGTATCAGATTTGGTGGATTCTAGACGTTGCAGTAGGCTGGGCGGGTAACTTGACTCAAATGTAATTAAACTCACGTCTCCCGGTGGGACCTCGAAGCTCAGGTGGCTAGAGCGTCCGGCTGTACTAAAGCCTTCCGCTTGCTGTCGTGGGTTCGAATCCCACTGAGGTCGCCGAATTTTTCACAGTCGGGTGAATATGAAATCTTCGAAATCTATTAATATTCTAGAATAACGGCCAACATTTCATGAGATAGAACATCTACTGTATCTTGCAATTTCAATATTACGGAGAAAAAACTAAATTTGCGGGAAAACCATCTCGCCTACTTAGAATTTTCAGGCGACTTTTCGAGTTCCAGACAAAGGAAAGAAAGCCCACATACCGCTGACTGTTGCGACGGCGCTTTGGGCGTAGGGTTGTCACCCTCGTTCCGTCTGCTCTTTTATCGGGTGTACTTTTTGCACATCGCTCTGTGAAAAAGCATTTGTCCTGATAGCATCCACGAGTGCTGATTTCGCCGATTCCACTGTTTATTTCACCGACTAGCCATGGTAATGACCTAAAACTAGCATGGAAGCGTTAGTTCGGAACAACTGCTGTTACGTGCTTATTGTGCCTTCATGCGCTTATTCCTGAATGAACCATAGGTGTTTCCGCTGACTAAATGGTCTAGGTACGATTTCACTGCCTTACACGCCCGAAAGAACTCTTCGCACCCATTGAGCGTCTACAATTTGGAGATTACCAGCTCTAGCAGATTTCAGCTGACATGACTGTCAGCCTCTGTCGGGCTCCGGCCCTCTAGCACTCACAAGTATGTCTGCTTGAACCGCCTGCCCCTTAGCGGGTAATTTGGTCTCGTCGCTCTTCGTTGTATGTAGCTTTGCTACCCGCTTGTTAACGTGTCCAGTACTTATTGATGAGAAATAGTTTTTGGTACTTAATCTTATGACATATATGAAAATAAGAATAACTTGGTAGAAAAACTGTGCTACCGACCTGACTCTAACCGCTAAACAGCTGACTTATCTGGCTCATTCCTGTGGGCAAATTAACTGACTATGAGAGTCACCCAAGCCGCTAAGCGACAAAATGACTCACCTACGTTAAGGATCATTACCCATCTCAGGCGAGGAATGAAAACGATTGCCAGAAATTTGCCTAATCCATTTCCAGCTATATTTGCCCGGTTTAGACATGTGTTTTGCAACTTCCTTTTCTGAACTAGCATCAAATGTAAGAACTTTGAAGAGCCTCACAAGAGGAAGGAGCCGGTGAACATCTTGGCACCAGCCCCAGTGGACGTTGCTTATGAGGAGATGTTCGCATCCCTACCGGAGCACAAGTATGGTCCTCGAGGCCTGATGGAAATCAGCTCCAAACGTTGTCTTCTCCAGGATAAGATGAAACAGAGACCGTTCCCGCGCTGGCTGCGGCGCCGTTCTTCGCCCACTTCCGACTCCCCGCCCTGCTCGCCGAGTCGCTTCGATGTTAATCGTCGCGCCCAACTGGTAAACCCCCACATGAAGCTGGCGAAACTCGGACTGGTGCGCTGCAAGTCACCACCTCCTCCCAGGGCGCCCCGTCGCGCCTATGCGGTCGGCCTAAATGCTAATAACATTGCCGCGGCCGATTGGCTTCGAAAACCTTGTGAAAGGACTCGTCTCCCACCCATCTCTCAGAAACTGCCAAGTCGCGGTTCAAAGGCTGCATGCTGAGGTGACCAGCGGCAGTAATCAGTAAAGACACGGTAACAACTGAAAAATGCAATCGGCTGATCTCCACTGAGGTCATGGATAAGCTCAGAAGCAAGTAACTTTTGCCGTTACTCCTGGGGTGGGGAAAGCAGAAAAGGAGTGCGGCAGATCAAGTGTCATGTATAGAGCATATTAAGCGACCAACAATACACCCTACGTTTCCCTATTCATGGCATTTTGTTCGGGCGTACGAATAAAATGGGACTGTTTGTATTCTGTCATGAAAACGAATCACTCCTGTACGGGAGAACCAGTTTGCTACTTTAGTCAAGTGTCCTCATTTGCGGGCCTGTTGTTGTCGTCAAGAGGAAACAGGAGGCAAATATATAATGTAGACAGACAAGACCACTACCACGCTCTATGGTTCCTTCTTAATGTGGCCTCTATGACACTCTCACTCCCTGGGATCTGAGCCTGGCGTGGCAGCACGCTCAGGGGCGGCTTTGGCCGCCCCTGCCGTCGCTCTTGTTGTTGGGGTTCCTGCTGATCCTAGTTTTGTTGTTGAAAATCCTGGTCAGCTGTTTATTGCGGGCCAAAGGGTGTGGTGGTACGTTTAGGACGGGTCCGGTCGTGCCAGCCACCGGCGCCCTCTCGGCGTCCGGTCTTTTTGCCTATTTTTTTGACATCGGACCCAGGTGGGGGAGGAGAGAGTGTGACAGAGGCGGCACAAGCCACCTGATGTAGAGCCCACGGTGGACATCGTCGGTCAAGGCGGTTGAAATCTCACCACTCAACCTCGAGTAAATGTCGCATAATGGGAGTTTTCTCCAAGTCTCCACTTGAATTCTAAGCACAGACCATAGTAGTTTCCTTAGCACTGGAACAACAGAGTGGTTAAAGTACCGCGACTGTGTTCTCCGAAGCATCCTGATCACAGGAGTGATGCTAATTTTTCAGTGTCGCCTTTGAAGACCGATCGCTAAACGACCAACTGGGTCGGGGTCCGAACTACGAGTATGCCCATTTTGCAGCATGCATGGGTGGCGACAGCAAACAGATCGGAAATAGTCCCCAGTTTTGCCTATCCTTGCCAATACCAATTCTTAATAGAATGGGCTTTTTTTTCACTTGTCCGGTTGTCCATCACAAATATCAAGCTTTAAGACATGTGGCGTAATCTCGATTATGCTATCGAGATCTCACTCGCTTGGTCTTGGAAGTCAGCCAGCCACTTTTGATAAATGAGCGCAGAAGATCTATGAAATTGGACGGTCACCTCTTCCCTCTGCCTTCACCCACGGGTATCTTTCTCCTATAACGAATGTATTAGTCATTTTCAATCTCGAAGGTTTAACCCGTCTGGTCTGCGACTCGAACCTGTTCATTTACAACCTGAAGTGGATCCCGCAAACTGACTGCCTTCTATGATTACTTTTAATCATGTTCATTGGGGTGGCATTACTCCCTCAATTCCTTTTGGTTCCCAGCATCTTTAAGCCACAGACGATGGTGTTCTAGAGTTAAATCTCTGAACAGAAGCATTCATTCCGCAGGATTAGTGACTATCGGCATGGAGGAGGTGATATTTCCGAATACCTCAAGGCCGTGTTTTGCCAAACAGATTGACCAGTAACGACCTCGTCAAGCAGCTCAGGGTTTCTGAAAGCCATCAAATGTTTGTAGGGGTCCGTCGTTATGTCTAAATTATCGCAATGACTCTTGTTAGTTCAACCTTCTTCGGTGGTTGTGTGCGTGCAAGCTGAACGAAAACTCGAGCTTCTAGGCCATTCTTGTTTGAGCACGACCGCGAAAGTAAGAACAAACTTCAGCTCGAATGGGTCAGTTCGCACTTGCTGAAAGAACATCGCAAGGATGTACCAAACCGTCCAAGGAAGACGGCTAAGGCGGTTTGGGCACTTCGTCTCTCCTGCCATGCCGGAGAGGACACCACCGCAGCCTGACTGGAGACCCTAGAGCATTGGTCTGGTGCCATGTTGTCAGGAGTTCTGAAGGAGGGAGAGCGACAGGGCGCACTGTGCATTGTCCCTGTGCGTCAGTAGGGCTCCTTTTTGACTGATTGCTGTTCGTCTTGCGATCGCTTACGACGCTCTAGACCGCAGCTTCAAGGCAAAGCGGGCTGCTCATCTCGTCCTGTAGTGAGGATAGGTCTGTGTACCCCACTTCCATACATTTATACACCGTAGAGAGTGCTATGTTTAGTCTGACTGGAAGATGTTTATCTAGACGGATGGTAAGCAGCATGGAAGGGTAGGCAAACACGGGGTGGGTTGGTTGAGAGGAGGAGGATAGGCGCAAGGGGGGAAACGGGCTGTATAAATGCGTAAACATAGCTAGCGGCCGAATTTGAGGTTGGTGAATCTGATGATACTCGTAAATCCTTCTTCCTTCATCGTTTTTGGCCTTGTTCGTCGGTCGAGTAGACAGGGACGAACCGGACCGATCCGACCCAGTTCAGGTGCCAAAGCCTCCAATAACAGAGCCTACGGCTCTCGGTTGGTCTGGCAGGGACCAGTCCATGCCGCAAAGCCGAGACTCACGGGTTGTAACGGTCAGATGGCTGGCACCGGGGAGAAGGACACGTTGCGGCGTCCTAGGGTCGGCAAGCCTGATAGACAGTAGGGCGAGGCACGGATTTCGAAGGACATCTTCAAGCAATATGTTATTACCGACAAAGACAAGGGAGACTGGAATGACCGTTTCTGGCTTATTAGCCGTCGTCAGCCAGTCATACCCAACCCGAAGTGCGGAACACCCGAGGCTCGAACTCGCGACCTGTTGGTTAGAGGTCTACGCCTCTAACCACTGGACCACGAGCCCGTTGCCCTGTCGGTTTCGATCGGGAATATACAATGTGAGCGCCTCCCCCCCCCGACAAATTCAAGGTCAGGTCGAGGTTCCCATTGCTGAGGAGGCTGCAGCTTTTGCAAAGGCGTAACACTAGAACAAATGGGCCAACTTCGTTTAGTTTGTTTATTCATTCGATTGCCAGGGTGGAGTGTAGAAAGGTAACTTCACAATCTCCTGATATTTAATCGTTGAGGGGTCTCCTGCGTCGCCAGTCTAAAGGGATGGCATGAACTGGAGGTTCTTAGTGGATAAGAAGGGGGGGGGTCGAGCACCAGGACGTTCTGTTTATTGTTTTGAGCTTTCGAACCCGTGCAGGAGCCAATCGTCAGATATAGTAGCAACAAGAGAAAAAGCGACAGCTATAGGGCTGGCTAGCCAATCATCGACCGATGGCGCAAAACTGGAGGCGATTGCGGAGGGCTAAGTGTACTGGAGGACACCAGACGCCCCGAACACCAACAAAACCAACGATATGGCATTCTCTGCCATACATCCGGGATGCTTAAGAAGCCACCGAGCGCATTATTGCGGGGCTAGGTGCTGGAATTTCACACCGCCTCAAAGCCGCCATGCGCAACAAGGTCATGAAAATCAAAGACCGGTTAAAGCCTGCGGAGCCATGTGGAGTACTGTATCGCATCGCGTGCCAAAAATGTCCTTGTAACTACACAGGCCAGACTGGACGCATGTTCGGATCGCGCATACACGAACATTAGCCGGCTGTACGACGAGGCGACGAATTATCACAAATGGCCGCCCACACCCACGAAATGGGTCATGAGTTTAACTTCGCAGCCATCACGATAATCGCCCGCGCCGGAAACAAAACTGGCCGAGAATTGATTGAAGCCTGGGCCTCGGATGAGAACTCAGTCAGTTGATTTACCGATCCGGCATTGGCATACAGAGCCCTGCGCGGTCACCCCCAGTCTTACGCCATTAATCCATGATTAGCTAGCACGCCCTATAAGTGTCGTTTGTTCCCCTGTTGCTATTATCTCTGACGATGGACTCCTGTACGAATCCGAAAGCTCAGGACAATAAACAGAATGTTTCCGTGGTCAACCGCCCTTTTTCTTTCCTTATACACACATCTGGAACTCAGACGTTCGCCTTCATTCAGGGGAGTTGTTTTTTGAGCAATGCTATCCAGGTTCCTAGTCGCTGTGACATCAGTAGTGCATTTAGACCCATTCCACTTCAGTTTTTCACTGCGCCCACAGGGAAAGCGAATGTCGGCCAGGAACTCGGGCTGAAAAGACTGTGATAGGAGGACTTTGATCCTCATGTGACATCGAAAAATGAATTATTCTTTGCAAGATCGGACAAAGCGTAATAGTCCATCGTGGCTGCGATTATGTCGCTATGAAAGAAAAACTAATATCTGGTACTGATTGGTTGGGCGAATATGAGACATGGACATTGCTAGAATAAGTTGCTTGACTCTAATCCCAGTCACTTTTAAGCGCTCGTGTTTGGGGAGAATCAGCCTGTCCGAATTCACGGCACCCGGCAGTAGGCAAGATGGCTTATGTAGCCCCACTTGATGGACAAAATACTGTTGGGGTTGGGGCTAAGGTTAGGGGTTATGATATTGGGTCAAGGTTAGGGGTTAGAGTTGGGGGTTAGGGTCGGGGGTTAGAGTTAGGGTTTAGGGTGAGAGGTTAGTGTTAGGGGTTAGGGCAACTATTTCTCAACCACTCAAGGTACAACCGCACATTCCAAATAGCTCTACCCTTGCACACAGCTGTATAACCTCGTCGCCTGTGCACTCCCCGATCCCACCTGTAAAAACTCCCATTACCACCGGTCCCGTATTGGAGGTGACTGTCGTTTGTTTACTTCAGGTGGGGCAACATAACCACATCTGACCCGGCAATGTTTCAGTTCCATCGGAATGCCAGTAAAAGATCCAGTCTGGCCCAGTGGTCAAAGCGAAAGCAACCAGCTTTCGAAGAATTCAATGTGCTCGCTTGACGCGCGTCATACGCAGGAGACTACCGTGGCGAGATGGTAAATCTGGTGCAGATTATAACAGCTGAATTTCAGTTAATCTGCCCTACTTACGCAACCTGATTTCCAGTCGGCTACCAATAACAAGAGAAATTGAACTAACCTAAATAACCAACCCCTGGGGGCGGGGGTGGATGTGC